CCCAGTTTTAGTGGGACCAGCAGAGGCAGGTGGGACCAGGCTGGCTTTGTCCTCCAGATTAATGAGCTGTCTATGGCTCTTTTCAGTGCTTGCTACTGGGCCAGGCCGGCACCCAGCAAACATACAATATGTGGGCTCGTCTCCAGAGAAGAGGGAAGACAAAGGGCTTGTGAGTTAGTACATATAATGTACTATGTACTGTATGTGTGTGTGTTTGTGTGTGTATTTGAAATAGAAAAACTTATGAGAATAGATTATTTCAGTGAGAGTGTGTGTTGTCCTGCTTTGCACTGGTTTGAATTGAAACAGCTTTAGTTATTGGTCAAAGTGAACATGTACCAAAGAAATGATGCACAATGTAACTGTTGGGCGTAGGGTCCAGTTTGTCTCCGCTGTGACAGTGAGGAGTGTTTCACAGAATATCATCCTTATAGTAAGGCAGCACTGAGCGATTACAAGTATCTCTCAAAAGTAGAATTATGTGGGCATAATTCTGACACTGTGGCTGAGAGGAGGCCCTCTCGCTTCTCAGCAAGAAGGTCTTGGGTTTGAATCCTGGTTGGAACAGGTTCTTTCTGAGTGGAGTATACATGGTCTTCCCATGTCCTCCAGGTGCTCCGGTTTGCCCTACTACTAAAAATATGTACAATAGTTCAGGGTGAATGAGTGTGTGGTTGTGAGGGCGACTGTGGGACGACGGATGGAAATTAGCCCAAGGCTACTAATAAACAATAAACTAAACTAAATAAACTTTTTTTTATTTGAAGATAGAATCATCATCATGCACCAGTAAGAAAAAAATGCATCTATAAATAATACATAATACCAGGAAGTACCCCCTACGGGCTTCCAAATTCTATACTATCGACTGTTTTGAAGGAGGGTCTCTAAATAGACGCAGTTCTGCTGCGAGCAGCTGTGCCAGCCACAGTTTTTCCATTTACATCCATCCATCCATCCATTTTCTTCCCTGTTTGGTCAAAAACTATGAGTCTGTTTGTGTTGGAGCTGTCAGAGGTATATCATAATATGGGATGAAGAACATAAGAACTGAGTAAGAGATAATTGTATTGTTATATCGTATAGCCTGTGTCCTGGATCTATAGCCTGTCTGATGGAGGGAGTGGATCACTCTCTTAATGTGGGCCTCCCCAAGGTTTTGGAGTTGTTCTTTGCTGATTCAAGGGGGTCAGGACAGCGGTGATAATCCAGTACATTTAAGGACATACAGGACATTTTATTTACATTTATGGACATGTGTTATTTATTAGTGCATTTCCTTTGTTTGATTCTCTGATCTGAATAGGCAAATTGCAAAACTTTGTAAAATCATTCATGGATGACTATGTCATGATTTAGGGCTGTACAAAAATAAGCTGACTCATTCACTTGGAGACCCTTTTTCATGTATTAGTTTATTTGATACATGATGAGACGGTTCTTATTTTCAAATTTATTTTCAAATAAATCCCTAGAATAGATGCTTTATATGGATTAAAAAGTGTTATTTACAAAAAGTGTTACATATATGTTTTTGTGTAATGTCTTTCTTATCTGGACTTCGTGTCTGTAATAAAGTTTAATAATAATAATAATAATATTCTGTATGTACGATCGTGGAGATCAGACATTTCGATCTACCTGGGCTTGGATTGTGAACACTGTTTGGAACTATACTTGGTTCCTGAAAAAGTCTGGGCCATGCGTGGTGTGTAAGTTTAAGTGTTGCCAACCAATTAGGAGACACTTTTCTGTACAAGAATTCTCACATTTGGCTTTTGCCACTGTTTGTTGCCCTAGAGCATGATGTCATAGCGAGCGTGTGGATATTGTGAATGTAGGTTGGCCAACAAGCAGTGCGCCATAAAACACTGCTGCCCACAGTCACCTGATGCAGCGGGGAATCAACACATGCAGACCTCGCAAGACCTCGCTTATTAGCGGAATACACTACGTGAGAAAACACACGCTGCACATATGCTCTGTGTGGGATGGAGACAAGCCCAAATGGACACTTAACAGCACAGTATGAGCTGAATAACCACACCAAAAATAGACAGCGGAGAGTCGAAGAGTGTATGACTGCAAAATAATGGGAGTAGTAGAAAACTAGTAGTAAAAAAGAAAATTGTTTACCAAATATTTACGCTGGGAATTTTTTTTTTTATCCAAATATTTGAAAATTGCCAACAAATCATTAACATTTTGTAAATGTAGTTGATTTTCAAAGTCACAGGAGTGATATTATGAACTGAATATGGAGATTGTTTACTGTGCTCATTGTAAAACAGTAGTCCTATTCGCACTGAGGAAATGTCTCTTTCTCGCCTCTTCAAGATTCTAGATTCAATATCAATTTATCATGTCCCATAGGAAATTTGTCTTGGCTGCTACTATGAAAATACACATAACACAGACAGAAACCACCAGCGCTCTGCTCCATCACCTGCAGTCAGGAGGTTCACAGATATGGAACAAGTTCTTATAACGGTTGAAGTATCTATTCTTATTTTTAGTTGGTTCTCTGTAGCAGCGGCCGGATTTGAGGAGCTCATACTGAGAGGAGGGCATGAGAAGGGTCTGAGGCGATTTTCTTTGCCTGTCTAATAACAATCTCCACAAATATCTGTTGCAAAGATGTGCTTACATGTGGGTCAGGTGAAGAAGGTTATACAACTCCACACAACGTTGGGCTGTCGCATGCACTGCTCTTTCCTTTATAAAGTTGTCCCTGTGTAAGATATGTTTGAACGTCTTTAAATTTCTTCTTGACATGGATGGGAGAATGTCCATAGTACAATAAAATGCGATTCCCCGGAGTCCTGGTTGCACCGTGCTTTGACTTCTGAGGACTGATTTTGAAAGTCAGAAGTTATTTTGACTGTTTTATTTTTGACACGATCTTTCCTGTTGCGAAAAGCCGACACAGGTTCAAACATCTCTCCTCCCCTTTCCACTGGAGTCCAAAGTCGACACTTGCATTCGAATGCATCATGGGTCTACAGTATATAAAATCCAGTATTCATTTTTTAGAGTTTCTTGCTATAAACTGTCTCTTTCCTTGGGTTTCTTGTCTATCTATTTGGGGTAGGCCTAATTTAATAAGTCACAACTAGATTCTATATCTATTCTACACTTACTTTCACTAAAAAATACACATGGAGATAATGTATTCATGGATTTGTTGGGAGGCAGTGATGATGTTGGCCATCCAGCGCGGTCATCTGCTTCTGGGCATTAGCTTGTTGTGTCTGGGAACGGTGAGGTGTGTTGGCTCTGCACTGCTGCAGCATGTTGGCTGTTACTTCAAAGAACAGTAACATTGATCATTTTATTTTTATTCATAATGTTTAACTGTTTGTTTTTTAAATGCTACATGACTGTAATCAAGTAAAAATACTTAATTTTCAATCTCATTAAATATCATATTAAATGCAATTGTTACAATAAAAAACATGTAATTAATGGTCTACACGTCACAAACATTTGAGATATACCCCACTATTTAACATATTTAAAAATATATTTTGTTGGTTCCTGTTTTCCATGTATTCCTGCTGTTCATTAATGTGTGCTGTGATATTGAAATGTCCCCACTGTTGGACGAACAAAGAACTTCTCATCTTTACACTATAAAAATATAAATTAACATAAAATAACAGTTGCTAAATAAGTTTCATAAACACGACTCACAGATTTAAATGAATCAGCACATGTCTTCTGAAATATTAAATCATTGTAATTGCGCATGGATTGTCAAGCTTTAAGTGATTAGTGGTGAGAGGCTTATTTGTGGACTAATTAATTTGCTGGCTCTTGAGAAAACTGTTGGAACAAATTGACTGAGAGAGCAAAAATAAGTATTTTGTAAGTCTGACAAAAATATCTTGTTAATTAATTACTTTATTTTTCTGAAGATATACAGTATTTTGAAACTAAATATGGGAAAATGAATTGTACTGAGCAGCACGTGTGGAAGGAACTGTAGCAAAATACAGTACAATGAGAAACAACGGCCCATGGGGAGGAGACACACGGCTTATGTCTGCTACATGACAATCCTTCATAAACAGTGCACAACTAGGACACCCAGAGTCCACACAGAGTCCACACAGAGTTCCACCCAGAGTCCACCCAGAGTCCACACAGAGTTCCACCCAGAGTCCACACAGAGTCCACCCAGAGTCCACCCAGAGTCCACCCAGAGTCCACACAGAGTCCACCCAGAGTCCACACAGAGTCCACCCAGAGTCCACCCAGAGTCCACACAGAGTCCACACAGAGTTCCACCAAGAGTCTACACAGAGTCCACCCAGAGTCCACACAGAGTCCACCCAGAGTCCACCCAGAGTCCACACAGAGTCCACCCAGAGTTCCACCCAGAGTCCACACAGAGTCCACCCAGAGTCCACACAGAGTCCACCCAGAGCCCACATGTCGAATAAATGGTGTGGATCTGGATAGATGCAGAAAAAGTCGGAGAAACTTCAGTATTTTGTGTTGTTCGCAACAGAAATTTCAATCTTAGGGTCACAATTCGATTCTTGATTCCCGGCTTGAGTCCTGGATATAAAGCCTGTCAAGCGTACGATGACAGATGCTATTTGCATGTAACCACTTCTTTTTTTAAACTTCGACACAGCTTCAATAGAGATTTGTAGAGAAAATCTTACCAGAGAAAATTGCATAAACCATTCAATTTTATTAGGAAAACTATTGTCTTTTGTAAGAAAACTGCAACATTCAAATAAACTGTAAGCAGTGGGTCCGGTCGGGTATTGTTCTGGATACTCAAGTTGCAGATTATAGAATTTGGGTCTAAATGTTTTGTCTTTGTTCATCTACGTTTGTGAACTGTTTGTTGTGTTCCATTCAATAAAAAGTAAGAAAATAGCTATTACAGGAGTAAATCAGAAGGTTAGAGGGGGTGGAAGTTCCTAATAATGGATACATCTACAACTGCAGGTCTGTTTTTAATGAGGAACAAGGCTGTAACTAACCTCTCTGTCCAGTCCGGCTGCCACTGTGACGATGTCGCCTGTTTCACTGTTGATGGTGAACATGTTGGGGATGGGGCTGTGGGGGTTCTGGGACAGGATGCGGTAGCGGACCATGCCATTGGCTGTGGTGGAGTCGTCCGCATCACTGGCTGTCACCTGCATCACGGAGGAGCCTGTGGACAGACAAGAGTACAATTATTAAAAATATCAATGTGTTTATATGACTATAGGAGGTTTGCAGAACACAGAGCAACTAATTCTATTATTATCCTATTTTATATTGTCTATAAATAGCTAGTTATAAGTATGTAGTTATCAACATTGCCAGTGGCTCAAACACTTTGAACACTGATGCTATCTGATAAAAGTGCAAAGACTGACCTATTTTTAAATAAAGTCTGCATTTTTGTTTGGTCTCTATTTTATGAAGTTGTCTTTTATATTCACATTTGTAATCAAACCTTGTATATGTACATATGCATGACAACCACAGCAGTTTTCAATGGGACAACATTAAGAAAATAACTTTGAAGTCAGAAGAACTTGTTTGCACCGAGAGCCAAAGCAGTTTTCTAGTTTGTGACTTCCTGTTACTCACACGGTGATAAAAGGATTCTGATTCTGATTAAACATTTAAAAATGAATCCTAAACACTGTAATAAAAATAAAAAACAGACTCAAATTTCCCCACTGTGGGACGAAGAAAGGATCTCTTAATTTCTTAATATAATGTTAAATAAAAACGTATCACTAATGATTTTTATGTTTCCTTTTTTCTTTTGTGCCGGTGTAGGAATTGTTCCATACATATAAACTTCCCATGCCTTTTGTCACCCTCCCAAACAATTCAAACATTTCCCTTCTCAAATAAAGGACTTTTATCAGAGTGCCTCAGATTTCTCCCTGTCTTCTTTGGAAAAGGGTATTTTTGTTTTTCAATGTCATTTTTCTTCCTGAAGAGCACCTGATTATAATTACTTTTTTGGATCCTGTAGCACTCATTCCTCCTGTTCTCTGCAATTCAAATATTTGTTTTCAACACAGATTTTTCAATCACAAATTGCAATGACATATTCTAGTTTCAAAGCTAAAAAGACATGGTGGTTTCTGATGGTGTGAGCTTTTTCAGATACAATATCTGCCCAGAAGAAAAATGAAAAAATAAACTTTTTTTTTTCCGGTCTTGCTGTCCATTTGGTAATGAGCAGTCTTGTGCCATTTTAGAAGCCATTATTTCAGCCTCCAGAGCACAGTGGATGCCTCTAATGCTCCCTCTGTATTTGTCTTACAATCACAGATAAACAGTGACCTTTAGGACAGAGCGGCGCAGGCCAGGGCGGGAAAGGCTTCAGTGGAAGTGCAGCTACCAAAGTTATTTTATGTTTATATATGATTCAGCTTTAATTTCATTTGACTGGTTTTATGTCATTTTAAAATACTTGTTCTCACTCATTTACTACCTGTGCTGCACTTTGAAAATGATCTTGTTTATGAAATATGCTATAAAGATAAAGTGCTTTGGATTAGTTAGGTAAAAATCCCAATTATCCTCATTCTGAAAATGCATAATATAAACATTTAGAAGTGGCATGTGGTGAATAATGATGCCAAGATATTTCGTGGAGTTTGAATAAAAAACAGCTTTATAACAGGTTTCAGTTTGAAGGACTGAGGATATAACTACAGCAATAATACGATATTAAACTGTAACCCGCACACCCACGTCCTCTGAGAAGACTGCAGACAGACCAATAACAGGGTCACAAAAGTAAATAGTCAAATATCAACACAGATGCTATTCACTTTAGTTCTATCAAGAAATTGTTGGTGGTAAATGGACAGAGACTGCTTTGGACTTTGATGTGCGATGACAAATCCACTTCAATCCAAATAAATGCATTTTTGTATAGCCCTAAATCACAGAGGACTTTACAACGTTGTCGTTTCGCCAACACAGAAGTACTTTAGGAAGTGCAAGTTTAGGATTAGTCTGTCTTTGTGAAATGTATGCATTTGTTATATGGTGGTTGGGCAGGAGCTCTGGTGTGCTCTCTGCTCTGTCTGGTGCACACTGGGGTACTTCTGCACACGTATTCCAATGTGGTTTTACGGCAAATGGCAAATAAACTGCATTTTGAATCATGTTTGGAACAGGAGCGTACAGCAGAGTATGGCTATGAAACAAAGACGACGCGTAAAAGCGGTAAAGAATAAGTTACACTCTAAGTATTTAAGTATACCTATAATACTATATGGCAGTTAACACGTATCACATTTTCATTCCTATACCAATGGCAGTACAAGAAGAATGAAAGCCCGCTCCAGTGTCAGCAGCAGTATTGATTCAGAGAGTTTGTCAGCGGGGCTCACTAATGCGTGTGGGCAATTAGGAGCACTTTGTATTGGAAAGAGGAGCGCTCGGCCCCCAGTCTCCCAGGGCTGTGTGAAAATGTCACTCTCCATCAGGCAGCCATTTACAGAGCAGTGCTGTGGCCATGCGAATATGTCAACTCCCCGCACACTCCCAGCTTTAACGCTCGCAAATGGGGAGGCAGCGGGAGCGAGGGGACCCACTTCTGCATCGGCTGACACGGGAACAGGCCCTGTGCTATTAAAGCTGTCATTGTTCTGAATTAGTATCTGAAAGGTAGTGTTATAGAAAAATGTGTAGAGTAGATTATGTCGAACATGGAAGTCGTTAGATCTGTTTGCCTTGAAAAATATAAGTGTTATATTCATGCCTGAAGAGCAAAGGGCTGGTTGCTATCTGCAGTATAACAAATAAAACATTCTCTGCATACTTTTTGGGCATTACAGTTAGAATGAAACTGTTTACATTATCATTTAATGGTTTAGAATGTGGAATGGAATGGAATGGTGAATCAAGTATGAAGGGTAAACAACCTGAGGGAGGCTGTTAATTGTTATTATTATTTCTAAATTTAAAAATCCCCCAACCGCAAACACAGCCATAAGATTGCCCTGTACAAGAACTCATTTCTGAGCAGTACTCTACAGTGTGATGTCATAGTGGTGCAATGACATCATACTCTTTCAGAACTGAGACTGGAACTTTTAGACAGAAATGGGCAGAGCTGTTGCAGGTTTGTGACAGAAGTTCCTAAAATATTAGTGTGGAGGGTTTTTTCACAGGAGAAGAATATTGTTCAAAAGATTCATTTTTGCATTCTGTGTCTCTTTTAAAGACATATTCTGATGGCTGTGCGCAAATCTATGATGCTTATGGATTATTATTGTGAGTTGTGAGAACAAAAAAATATACAGTGGGTGAGTTTAAAGTCAAAGGAGTTTAATGGAGTTTAAAGCGAAGGTATTCAATGACCAGGGAAAACATATATAACGTGTCCAAAAACGTGAAAAGGGTCCACCCTAGCAATGCACCCAAATAATAGCATGTTAAGAAATACTGTATATTGATAAAGAAAGATATTGTTTGAGTATTTCACTTCAAACTATGAAGCATTATGTACTGTGGCAACACTGATTGTATTTTAGTACATCAGAAAATGACGGAAGAAATTAGTTCCGTAGCATATTTGAAAAACCAGCACGCCAGCAGTTGGAGACAAATGAGAAAGTAGATTATGTAAAAAATAAACAAAATATGTTTTCCTCTTATTACAGTCACACTAACCTCCCGCTGATGTTGGAAAGGATGAAACTTGACTTAAAAAAACCCATATCCATCTCAAACACTTACCATAAAAAAGAAACAAAGCCACATTTACAAAGATATAATCAGTGAAATTGCAGATATCTATGAGTAAATCTGGATCTATGATTAGATAAGAGGCAAGAGTGAATGGGTAACTCTCAAAGCCTGTTAAATGCGCTTCTAATTTCATCACTAATTCCAAATCCTAATTGCTTTTCCACCAAAACCACTGGAGCTGCAAATGTAGCCGGGACAGCAGAGAGGGAGCGGCTCAGCTGACTGCAGCTGACGGTTGGGTGCTGTCGGCTATCCAAATGTTACCCTGCTTCAGTCAACAAATCATTTCCAATTAGGTCATAGATGCACCAGTAGACACAAGAAAGGGCTGGAAGTACTTGATATGAAATGGCTAAATCTACTGCGAAAAAGCTCAAGAGTCTCTCTTTATTGAACACTACTTTTAGAATATGTGCACATTTCTGGTTAAATTTCACCATTATTTGCTTTAAAATGTGTAAATGAAAGCTGGAGGACCTAACATTTTGTTTAATGAATACAATCCATTAGTCCCAACAGAAAAAATCTTAGATGTCAGCAACTAAACTTGTATTGTATCTAACAGAAGGAGAATGTACAGTAAATACATTTTAAATTGTCCCTCCCCTTGGCATAACTATGACCAAAGAGACTTTCTGGAGTAGAATAGTTAAACCAATGACAAGGATTTGATTTAATTTTGACCAATCAGGGGCCTGCGGGGTTGAGTATAGACAGGTCTTACCAGTACTTTATCTTCAAAATCTGACATTCACTTAAAATAACATGCTGACTTTATCTTAATAGAAAACATTATATCTTTTACATACTGAGAGCTGATTGAGTGGTAGCCTCTTTTTTGCTGCAAAAAATGATTGAAGTATATGATCCAAATACACGTACCTGTGAGGAACTAGTGATAGAACTAAAGCCAGGAGCCAGGAGTGACTTGGATTTTATTACAGAGTTTGGGGTTTTCACAGTTTCAAAGATACCAGCTCTAATGTTAATGTAATATTATACATGTAGTATTATAGCGCTGCATTACTTGGAACATCGTCGCTGTGCATTGCCAGTTGTCTGGTCACTTCATACGTTTTCTTTTTTACTTCTGAAAACACATCGTAAGTCTCTATTTAGATCTTCCTCTTTTGAAGTTGTGAAACACGTTCACCTCTTTACGGTCCTCGCACAACCTGCTCCTACTCGTTCGTCACGGTGTTACACAGAGGCTAACAGGTGATGGCTGGTGGATTTGTGAAGTCCAGCACAGGTCAGCCTTAGTCAGGGACATGGTGTTTTTAATCTACAGTATGGCTCATTTCTGTGGCAGCCCACTCTCTGCAAAGGGCAGCTTTTGCAACATGCCATTTCTTTCACTACACGCAAGGACAAGTAAAAATGATCCATGGATGAATATCTTCATGAACTGTAAAGGGTAGGGCACACCGATCTGCCTTC